TCAAAAAGAGGGACTGTTTACTTGTTTTGTATCAGCTACAGTGTCTTGTCTAGAACTGTGACTATAACAAGTGATAAACAGGTACTTATTGATTTTAATTAAATGATAAGCCATCCTTATTCCACCAAACCAACCTATCCCAGTGAGAGTTCTTTAAAGAACACCAAGAACATAAGTATTTTTTAAATTACATAAGTGTAGAACTTACAGATTTTTATGGCTTTCACTGTCTTTCACAGTGTTTCATCTACACCTAATTCAGCAGTGATATTTTAGTGACTTCCTTTTATTAAGTGTTCCTTGAAGCTTGCAACATAGATTTTGTAGGAAAAGCACAACTTTCTTTTCTCAGTCATACATCACTGATTTAGGAAATATTTAATTGAATTATGCACTTGAAACAACCAAGAACAATGGACACAAGCAGGGTTGGAAGTAAACACGTTGAAATCTTGGCCAACATGATTCAGGTCAGTAGGAACCAAAGGGCTTGGGTGTGCTGGGGAGTAACCTGCCAGCTTCAGGCCTTTGTCCTGCCAGGAGTGGAGGGTGTTAGACTGTCGTGTCAGCCAAGTGGAAGCAGTCAAGAGAGTGTCTACTATCCTCTCTTCTTAGTGTATCAAGGAGAGGGCTTTGGCAAAAACGGATTTGTGCTCATCGTCTGTCTTGGGTCCCTTTCCTATCAAGGGTGTATGTGGGTCATATACCCAAGCCAGCTGACATGGCTTAGTACATAGTCTTTGATCTGAAAACAACTCGAGGTTTACTGACTCAGGGGCCAATCATCTTAGTCTCATTAGAACGAAAATCTACCCACCTGATCTGTAATCCCCTGACCACGAATCCTCAAAGGGCCAACAGAGCTCTGCTGGGCCTAGAAATCATGCCTTTTCCATCTCTGGGATGTATTCCCACTCTGAGTGTGTGCTTAGTCATGTCTGACTCTTTGCAAACTCCATTGACTGTAGCCCAGAAGTATTCTCTGTCCTTGGGATTTTCCTGGCAAGAATACTGGAGTGGGTTGCCATTTCCTACTCCAGCGGATCTTCCCAACCCAGGGATCAAACCGGCATCTCTTGCACCTCCTGCATTGGCAGGCAGATCCTTTACCAATGCGCCATCTGGGAATTCTCTCCTCCCGACTTCCGGTCGGCAACCTGCACTGTTCACTACCCAGCCATACTTGTTCCCCATCTGCCACTTCGACAGCCGTTGCACTTTGGATGAGTCAAACATCTATTCTCAGGAGATAAGGTGTCCAGTTGACTTTGTATGGCCCCCTGCCACAACGTGAATCATTTTTTATAATAGTCCAGGGAAACTTGGAAATTCTCCTTGTGTTATGTTCCCTTTGGAAGGGCAACCTCTAAGTTTAGTTCCAAGGTGTGTGTGCTCAGTCGCGTCCAACTCTTTGCAACCCCACAGACTGTATCTCGCCAGGCTCCTCTGTCCATGGAATTTCCCAGGCAAGAATATTGGAATGGGTTGCCATTTGCTATTCCAGGGGATCTTCCTGACCTGGGGACCGAACCAGCAACTCTTGCATCTCCTGTGTTAGGAGGCAGATTCTTTACCACTGTGCCACCTGGGAAGCCCATTGACATTAATGACATTAAAGAATACTTGTTTTTCCTACTGATCATACTCAAGGGACTGACATCACTTTTTTGTGAGCATGATCACAAACATGAAGGAAGCTGCCCCTGGTTACCATCCCTGAAAGAAGGAGGTGGCTGTTCAGTTGCTCAGTCATGTCCAACTCTTTGCAATCCCATGGCTGCCTCACACCAGGCTTCCTTGTCCTTCGCTATCTCCTGGAGTTTGCTCATATTCGTGTCCTTTGAGTTGGTGATGCTCTCTAACCCATCTCATCCTCTGCTGCCCTCTTCTCCTTTTGCCTTCAATCTTTCTCAGCATCAGAGTCTTTTTCAGTGAGTCAACTCTTTGCATCAGGTAGCCAGAGTACTAGAGATTCAGCTTCAGCATCAATCCTTCCAGTGAATCTCCAGGGTTGATGTCCTTTAGAAGTGACTGGTTTATCTCCTTGCAGTCCAAGAGACCCTCAAGAGTCTTCTCCAGCACCTCAGTTCAAAAGCATCAACTCTTCAGTGCTCAGCCTCCTTCATGATCCAACACTCACATTGGTACAAGACTACTGTAAAAGCCATAGTTTTGATTATATAGATCTTTGTCAGCAGAGTGATGTCTTTGCTCTTTATCATAGCTTTCCTTTCAAGAAACAGAGGTCTTTTAATTTCATGGCTGCAGTCACCGTCTGCAGTGATTTTGGAGCCCAAGAAAATAAAATCTGTCACTGCTTCCACTTTTTCCCCTTTTATGTTTCATGAAGTGATGGGACTGGATGCCATGATCTTAGTTTTTGGAATGTTTGAGTTTTAAGCCAGCTTTTTAACTCTCCTCTTTCACCCTCATCAAGAGGCACTTTAGTTCCTGTTGACTTTCTGCCATAAGGATGGTGTCATCTGCACATCTGAAGTTTTTGATATTTCTCCCAGCAATCTTGATTCCAGCTTGTGATTCATCCAGCCCAGCATTTCACAGGATGTACTCTGCATATAAGTTAAATAAATAGGATGACAATATACAGCCTTGACGTACTCCTTTTCCAATTTGGAACCAGTCTGTTGTTCCATGTCTGGTTCTAATTGTTGCTTCTTGACCTGCATACAGGTTTCTCAAGAGACAGGTAAGGTGGTCTGGTATTTCCATCTATTTAAAAATTTTCCACAGTTGATTATGATCCACACAGTCAAAGGCTTTAGTGTAGTCAATGAAGTAGAAGTAGATGTTTTTCTGGAATTCCCTTGCTTCCAATGGATGTTGTCAATTTGATCTCTGGTTTCTCTGCTTTTTATAAACCCAGTTTGTACATATGGAAGTTCTCTTTTCATATTCTGCTGAAGGCTAGTTTGAAGTATTTTGAGCATAACCTTACTAGCATGTGAAATGAGCACAATTGTCCGGTAGTTTTAACATTCTTTGGCACTGCCTTTCTTTGGAATTGGAATGAAAGCTGACTTTTTCCAGTCCTGTAGTCACTGCTAAGTTTTCCAAATTTGCTGGAATATTGAGTGCAGGACTTTAACAGCATCATCTTTTAGTATTTGAAATAGCTCAGCTGGAATTACCATCACCTCCACTAGCTTTGCCTGTGGTAATGTTTCCTAAGGCGCACTTGACTTTGAACTCCAGAATATCTGGCTGGCACTAGGTGAGTGACCACACCATCATAGCTCTCTGGGTTATTAAGATCTTTTTTGTATAGTTCTGTGTATTCTTGCCATCTCTTCTTAACCTCTTCTGCCTCTGTTAGGTCCATACCATTTCTGTCCTTTATCGAGCCCATTCTTGCATGGAATATTCCCTTGGTATCTCTGATTTTCTTGAAGAGATCTCTAGTCTTTCCCATTCTGTTGTTTTCTTCTATTTCTTTACACTGTTCATTGAAGAAGGCCTTCTTATCTTTCCTTGCTATTCTCTGGAAAGAAGGAAGACTCTTTTGCAAATACGGGCTGGAGAAAAATGCATGGAAAGTGTAACTGAACTATTGTGTGAAAATTACAGGGCAAACAGAAATATCATGTCAGTTAGATGAAAGCTCCATTCATAGAAAGCCAAAATGGAGTCAATTCAGTTGAATCAGTTTCTTAGTAAATTTAGTGATTTGACCGTTTTACTTGTTGCTGGTTTAGAAGCAGCACAGAGTTCAGCAAACAGTGATGAGTTTTCCGTTTCTTCTGTGGATGTAATGAACAAAGGCGAGTTGCATTTTAGATTGATGGAAAGAACAATCAAATTAAATTTACAATTGCATCCAATCCTCTTTGACTCTTGTTTTCATTTTTCTCCTTGATTGTGGCATTTTCATGTTATTAATAGGGGGCTTGGGCTGTGGCTGTTCTCCTCCTTAGTGTATTTGACTTGTTCTAGTTCCATCTTTTCTCGCCCTGACTCCCATCCTCACTTGCTGGTATCTCGGCCACACTGGGCCCTGCTGTGAGCTTGGGCTGTGATGGCTATGGCATCACACATGCCATATGGCATCACACTTCCTTCTCCTTGGCCTGGCTCATCCAGCCCGGCAGAATGATGCTTTCTGCTTCTGGGCAGGGCAGCAGGCAGAGCCAGCCACTTAGTCCTCTGTCCACACCGTCTGCCCCCCCACCCCCTCCATCCTCTTCTGCCTGAGCAAGGTTGGCTTTCTTTTTCTCAAGCAGTTTTTCAAATACCAGTGATCCTTCCCCTAGATTCTGGAAAGGTGATGTTGGAAAACGTTTGTCTCCAGGTGTTTCCTCATCTCCTTCTCTCTTAAGGCACTGAACTCTTGGATCTGCTTATCCTTCTTGTGATCACCTTTCAGATGACGTGGGGACAGGACCTTCCACACGTGAAATGACCAACTAAAAAGGCCCTCGTGGAGAAAATGTACAGTTAACACCATTGATAAAATAGTCAAAATGTATTAGATGTGCCCAAGAAATGAATGCCACTGCCTGATCCCAGAGACAACTTCATTTGGAGGCAAATTTTAAAAAAATATGTTTTGGGGAGTTCTCTTTGAGTGTCCAGGCCCCTGAAAAGAAAGGCCTAGAGACTTCCTGGTCTAGAGACTTCCTTCTTTTACTAACCAAGTAGCAGAATCCCTTAGGTGGTCACCGTGGAACTGGGGCTTCTTCAGATCAAATGGTCCCACCATGACCTTCTCCGAAACCAACCATTTCATACCCAACATGGACCAAAGGAATAATCCACAGTGGCCAATCCTTGTGCTGGGAGCCATGTGCAATGCTTTCTTCAGTGGACTAGTTTGAAGGGCTTTGGTAGAAAGATGTTGCTAAAATATAATAATAAATAAAAGAACTCCACTCCTTCCTGCATCTGCTAAAAACAAACAAACAAAAAAACTGGGTAGAGGGGGATAAAAATGATCTGTCTCAACCCAAGAATATAATAACACTGCCTCTCTTTCCTTGTTTTAGGGAATGCTGTCGATTTTTTGGAGACAATGGCTTGACTTTGAAGGTGTTTTTTACCAAGGCAGCACCCTTTGGTGTTCTTTGGACACTCACAAACTACCTGTACTTACATGCAATAAAGAAAATAAACACTACGGATGTCTCCGTATTGTTCTGCTGCAACAAAGCTTTTGTGTTCTTGCTCTCATGGATCGTTCTCAGGGACAGGTTCATGGGAGTGAGGGTAAGTTGCTTATTCTCTGTCTTCCTCCCTCACTCAGTCATGCCAGCCAAAACCTGCCCATCGGCTTGCCTAACTCCATGTGCTGGACCGTTCAGCCTGAGCTGCTAACCACTCTCCTTCTGATTTGCAGCAGAAGGGGAGGCCAGCCGAAGGCCAGGCTCTTGGGGTGCCTTGCAAACCTTACTGCTTGCGAACCATTCTAGACAAGCGTTCATTAAAGCACCTTTCATTTCAAGCATTTCAACAAGCATTCCCTAAAGTGTGTGCCGGTTGGGGTCCCCCATTATGGAAGGGGTGATGTATTCAGCCTGCCTCTCACAGTCCCTGCAGCCCAGAGCCCTCAGCTAACACTGCCATAACACTGATATCTAAAACTAAATGTCCTCATCCACGTGGACATGCCCTCTTGGTGGGCCATTTATCTGGGTGGTGTTTTCAATGCTCAAGTGGGCCAGACGCACTTAGAAAGTGAAAGTCACTTAGGCATGTCCGACTCTTTGTGACCCCATGGACTGTAGCCTGCCAGGCTCCTCTGTCCATGGGGATTCTCCAGGCAAGGATACTGGAATGGGTTGCCATGCCCTCCTCCAGGGGATCTTGCCAACCCAGGGATCGAACCTAGGTCCCCCCTTTTGCAGGTGGATTCTTTACCAGCTGAGCCACCAGGGAAGCCCAGTTCAAATTCTGAACACACTTAAGATGCACTTAAGCTTAGTTCAAATTTTGGAGGGACAGTTTCACTTCCTTCAACCCCAGAGGAAGGGAGAATGAAATGATACCCCTTGAATTACCTCTCGTTGTCACCTCTGAGACTGAGTCAATTCCCTTAAAATAGAGTCAAATTTAGCTAGTCATATTTTAGAACAGTTATATGAAATATGATAAATGTGCTATCAAACATGAGCCTACAGATAGAGGAGTCCACCCAGGATGAAGGGAATAGGTGACATTTGGCCTTGGAAAATGGCAACCCACTCCAGTATTCTTGTCTGGACAATGCCACGGTGGAGGAACCTGGCAGGCTACAGTGCATGGGGTGGCAGAGTCGGACATGACAGGAACTGAGCAGGCCTTGTGACGGAGTCCTGGTGCCTTCCGCTTGTCGCCCTCTGGTGGCCGGGAGCTACCACTGCCCCACCATCACGGTCACAGACAGGGACAGAAAGGATTTGACCAGGCTAGATCTCTGCTAGTCAGAAAGCATCACTTACTCCTTCCTGCACCCTCAGACATGTAGGAGGGCCAGGAAGCCAAGAGTCCCCTTGGACAGCAGTCCCGTTAGAGGGAACCCCGCTGGCACTCAGCAAAGGAGCAGATTCCAGGCTCTCTACTTGTGTCCTTGGCTCGCTGTCCTGGGAACAATGACATCACCTTCATGGTGGCTTCACGCCCACCTAGTTACTCAAACAGCAGCGGGGACGTGAGTCAGCTGCTGAGTTGTATTTTTAGCTTGCAGTAGGGGGAAAATTTGTTTTGAGGCTTCGTGTTAATTTTGGAATAAGAACTCAGCTCACTGTGCCACCACCCAGAAAAGCTTTGAGCAAATAAACTATAGAATACATCTCCACAAGAGGTACAGCCAGCAGCAATCTGTCCAATAGCCTGCCTGACTGGATACTGAAGGCTCAGATGTCCTGGGGCCCATGGGTGGCTTTCTTTTGATGCCAAGAGCCAAGAAAATGCATGGCAGAGCACTCTTGGGGCATGACTCTAAAAGTCCAAAGCAGATTCCAGATGAGACCATTACTGAGGAAAGATGCTTCAAGGTTCATTGTGCATCGTGCGGAAGAAAAAGTTTTTGAGGTTAAGAGAAGGAGGTGTGAAAATACTGACTCACAGACAGCAGAGTGACACACCCAGATCTTTATCTCATTGCTATGCAAGATCCCCCTCACATCCCTGAGCTGTGGTTCGGTCCCACCTCCCTGGCCACTTGCTTGGTCTGCACTGACCACTGCAGACTGAACAGATTTTCATCTCGAGGCCTTCGGCACGAGGCCAGCACTGAAATTAAGACCCAGGAGCTGGTGCTGGGGATGGAATTTAGTAACCTGTAAAGCACCACGCAGTTCTAAGTCTCTCTGATAATCATCACCTCTCTTAGGAATAAGTGACGTGTCCTCTTAAGATCGTCCCACTCCACATCAAGGTGGGGCACCCTCTTCTCATCTTCAGGAGTTCAGAGAGCTTGAAAAAAATATGTAAGATGCCAGCAGCTGGGCAGAGTGACAGAGGTCACCCTGGAGAAGCAGGTGGAGATTTGAGTCCAGGATGAGGCCTAACATGCACACTTCTCTGAGACTTCTCTCGGACTGCTAGGTTAGCTGACCACCTCCTCCTGCTGGGTCATCGCCAGAGACTGAAGGGAACTGACACTCATTTCCATCCTGATGGCTGAGCACACTGGCCTGAGAGCCGCCCAGACATAGAGAATGGATGCTTGTGGAGAAGGCGACATAGAGGGCCTGCATTATTAAGGCAGTGACTCAAATCATGAGAGTTGTGGTTCCTGGAAAAGAGTAGCAGGTCTGGGTCAGGTGGACAGACCAGGAAGAGCAAATGTTTATCTTCAAATGCTGGGGAGGTTGTGGCCACACGTGGCATCAGAGGCTAGTGTTTGAGAGGAGCCCAAGCTGGCCCCCAGGTCACCCCTTGACTCTGCGCTTGGATATGCTCTTCACATGTGTCCTGGCTCTCCAGGCTCAGGGGTCATAACGCAACAAGGAGGTGCTGTATCCTAGAGCTGAGGGACAAGGGTTTGGGTCCATCCACTCTCATAAGCTGTTGAATGTTAAGCTAGTTACTTAACGTCTCTGAGCCTTAATGACCTCATTTTAAAATACAGTTGTTTGCGACTTCCTTGGCAGTCTGGTGGTTAAGACTCCACCCTTCCAATGCAGGGGGCACAAGTTCAATCCCTGGTCAGGGTACTAGGAACCCACATGCATGGGGTGAGGCCAAAAAATAAAATAGAACACTAGTACTCATCTTGAGGAATAGTTGTAAGAGTGAAATAAAGTGATGCATGCCTGACACATGAAACCCCATAAATGTTTTCTTCTTTCACTGTTGTTATTCTTCTCATTCCTTCTCAAGTAGAGGGGTTTGATGGACCAGCCCCGTTCTTTGGGTGATAGTGTCAGAGGCTGACTGACACTTAATGAAGGCAGCTGGGTGCGGCAAAAGCAGCAGGAGAATGAGAGCAAGCAGAATTCTGGAGATAGGAGAGATGGCCCCTCCTAAGGCAGAGCCCACCCAGCTGTGGTCAGCAGCTGGATAAAGGCCATGCCACCCCCAGTCCGCATCTCAGAGGAAAGGGCAGATGGCATTCTCAGCTGTTCAGAACCACCCACTCCAGCTAGAGCGTGCAAACCAGGAGGACTGGAGAAGCAGCAAGGAGGGCAGCTAAGAGACCATCTGAGTGGCCTCAAACCCCAGCAGCACGGTCCGGGGGAGCCTGGACCTTCTGCAAGAGCAGGTCCCATCTCAGTCTGAGCCCAGCTGATGTTTTCCATAATTAACCCACTTGCAGCCTTTGGTGCAGTGCCACCCCTGAAGGGTAACCCCCAGTGCTGACCTCGACTCCACCTTCTGTTTGGGAGGCTGTCCCCCGCCACATGAGCACAGCCTGGGGAAGGGCACAGAGTGTGGGGGAGCGTGGGGTGGGGGGCTCATGGCCCAGATGCCTTTCCAGCCTCTGAAACAAGCGGGGTGAACTAGAGGGTCTGCTAATTCCTCCAGACTCTCTTGGCATCAGTGAGGGCAGTGCAGGACTTGGGAGGGAAAGGGCTGAGGGAAATATCCGTAAAAATCAGCCTGTCCTTTCCCTTTTTTTAACTTCTCCAAACTGTACAAATCTAAAGCCCATCACAAACGAGGCTCCGCTTGGCAGAGGGCATGCAGCCCATCACACCTCTAGCAGGAGCGGGAAGCAGTGCTGGTCTGAGAGGCGTGCAGACTCCACCGAGGGCTGCACCTGCCTCGTCCCTTCCGTGGTGCCCCTCTCCTCTTGGCCTGACGTCTGATGGGGAGCAGTGTGGCCGTGGGGGATACGGGTGCATCAGTGAGTTGCTGGAGCCTGGATCCAGAGCCCCGGGGGTGGGGCAGGCTATAACCACACAGGCAAGACCATGGTCAAGAGGTTAACTGGTAACATGCTGGCCTCAGGGTCTCCCACGTCCACGCTTCTTCCTCTTCTCCAGCTCATTTTTCCCAGTCAGAGTAGAGATGGCAGCTCCCCTCCTCTTGGTCTCAGGCCACTGTCAGCCATTTGTCTGGATCCCCAAGTCTTTGTTCAGTGGGATACCCTGGGGATGCAACAGGAAAGGGTGAGAAAGCAGGGCTGAGGGGAAGTAGGGAAATCCACTTTATTCCATCCTGAGACTCAGCATTCTCCCCCAGGGAGGCTGGGATCTCAAAGATGAGGACTATGTGAAACCACAGAACACACAGGACCAGCCTTACTGGAGAGTTCCTCTTACAGCAGGAAATAGGCTGGGGAACATTTCCAGGTGTAAACCAAAAGCCAGATATTTTAGAGTATAAAGTGTGAACTCCGCGCTTATTTTTTAAAGAGATCTGGCATCGTCAAAGGAATTTCAGGCTTGGGGAGGGATGCTCAGGTCTTCCCCCAAGATCCGTAGGGTATTTTTCAACTCTGCTCTGCTTTTGGGGATATCGGATGCAAGGAAAACCACTGGCTTCCCCTCTGGCATGGAGGTCAGGGTCCAGGTTCAGGTTCGGGGGTCCCAGGGAGCTGCCGATGCCTAGACAGTATGCCCTGAAATTGAGTTGCTTAAACCTGAGACTCATGGAGGGGACCTCCAAGAGGAGATACCCTGGATGTGAGCAGCTGAGGGGTGAGCACGGTCCCCAGTGCCATCTGGCAGAATGAACTCTCTGGTCTGGACTTGGCAAATGTTGGCCGGGAAGCCAGTGGCCACCCACACTGTCTATTTCTTGCCCCTTCCCTCAGCTCTTCTGCACAGGACAGCTCAGATGGAAGCTTTTAGCTCTTTATGATTTGATCAATAGAGAAAGGAGAGTGAGGAGGTCCGAAATCTGCCCTCTAAGTCTTCAGGGAAGAATAATCCTGGTTCTCCTTCACTTCCTGAAACTTCATCCTTATGTTTGGAAAGACTCAGGTACCTTTGGAGATTTGCCACATCACCTGGGGTGGAGTTGTGTTCTTTCCCGTCCCCCCCCCCCCCATTTCCTTCTTTTTCTAGTTAGTTCTCTTCTGTTTACCAGCTGCCTAGCCAGGTCCTACTGCCCCATGCTGCATTTTTGTACTGTGCAGGCCCTCTGGAGCAGAGCCCACACTCCTTGCCCCGCCTGCTTTTGCACTTATCCCTGTTCTCCTGGGGGGGAGGTCCCTGACTGTTCTTGTACCTCTTCTTCTTTCTTAATGAAGAGCCATGCACAGTCCATGTAGCATTTGAATACAAAATATATGCCTTACGTGATGATGAGTGATAAAAGTGAAGCACTAAACCAGAAAGGGCTGGTAGACACAGCAGGCCTGGCACTTCTCCAAGGAAGGATGACCACCTGCTCTCTCAAGGGCCCGTGTGAGGGCGGGTATGTCTTCATACTGCCTGAGGAATGCACGGCCGCTCCAACCGCTGAGCCCTGACACAGGGCCTTTCACTAACCTAAACACAGCATGGCTCAACCCTGCAGGAAACCTCACTTCAGGTATCAGAGTAGAAATGGCAATGGCTTAAGAGGTGAGTCCTACTTTCTATTTATATATAGAAACACTGCCTTTGCAGTTAAACCTGAAATGTGTATCCCAGCTCTATGACTTCCAGCACGTTACCAAGCTTAAGTGCCCATGTCTATAAAATGAAATAAATCGCAATATCTACCTAGTCTGAGGATTTAATGAGAAAGTACACAGAAAACACTTATCCCCTGGATCACTCAGTAGATGTTAGCCACTGGATATTTTTGCAGAAAGCAGAGGTCATTTGAACAGTCTGTAAGAGAGAGAAAACTCCCATAAATCCAGTTGTCAGAACTTGCACCGCCCACGTTTGTTCTGCCTCCAGCAGCCCCTCCCCACTTGCCGCCCAGCGACCTTTATGTAGCTCCAAGACCACCTCTGGTTAGAACAGGTACTTAGTGCTAAAGCACTTCTCCTTTAGGAAATGTTATCCCAAGTACGTTTCTCTCCTGTGCTCTCTGACGATTTGATTTTGCACAACAGGAATGTGTAAAGATCCCTGGAGCCCTTATTCCTCCTGAGGAGCTGAGAACAGGGCTGGGAGAGGGGCAAGGGTGGGAGCCGGGGGCTGGAGTGGTGGGCCCTCCAGTAGCTGAGGAAAGGAACTGCAGGGCCAGTTAAGACACTGTATGTAGCCCTGATGGGCCAGTGACACATGCCTTTCCAGAAGGTTCTACCGCTGGGGTGTAAAGGAGGGCCACGATCCGTGGTCGTGGTCACTCTTTGTTGAGATGTGAAATACATAGAAGCAGGACCCTGAGAGGCACCTCCGGAAAGTTGGGAAGAACAGGCCTTAGTCATGACCGAAGAACCTGTCGTTGCGACTGTGACCACCCCGTCTGGCGGCCCCAGGAATCACATGGCCGGCCCTTCCCCGACATGACGCCAAGCCGCGGCTCTGCTCCTTGCCGTCAACCACTCCCGGTCCTCGGGTCACGCCAGGCTTTGCCGAGTGCCCCCTTCCAAGCAGGGACAAATATCCAGACAGGAGAGCAGCCTTTGCGTGGTCTCCGGAGGACTGAAAAGGCGCCCTGCCGCCCTCCGCGGCACCCTCGCAGGCATTCCTACCCCTGTCGGCACGTGGGGGCCCCTCCGACTCCCCGCCGCTGCTCTGACCACCGTGTCTTCCTTCCGTCCAGATCGTGGCTGCCATCCTCGCCATCGCTGGGATCGTGATGATGACCTACGCGGATGGCTTCCACAGCCACTCCGTCATCGGCATAGCCCTGGTGGTGGGCTCGGCATCCATGTCCGCTCTCTACAAGGTAGGCGCGGGGAGCGGGCTCGCTGCCTCTTCCTGGCCTGGCTGGCTGGGTGCTTTGAGGGAACCTTGGATGGAGCTGGTGCTTGAGGGTGAGCACCCGGCACCCCGAGCCTCGCGGTGCGGAGACGTGCAGCAGCTCTTGGCTCTGGCTTTCCAGACCTTTCCATCGATGGCCATACATTTGCAGCATTTGGGATAAAAGGGGTGGAAGGAGAGGTGGGTCAACTGAGTTCGATGAGTGACTTACTTGTTTGGCCAGACAAGGGAGGATTGGGCCTCCCAGGTGACACTAGTGATGAAGAACCAGCATGCCAATGCAGGAGATAGAGAGATGTGGGTTTGATCCCCGGGTGGGGAAGATCCCTTGGAGAAGGGTGTAGCAGCCCACTCCAGTATTCTTGCCTGGAGAACCCCATGGACAGAGGAGCCTGGCAGGCTACAGTCCATGGGGTCCCAAAAAGAGTCCAACAGGACTGAGGAGACAGCACCCAGGCACAGAGAAGGATTGGGGGCCTTAACTGCCTGCTTCTGTGTTTGGTCAGATAATTTCCCATCAGATTGGACATGAAAATTGGAATATCTCCTGCAGCTTTGAAATCTTTTATCACATGGTTTTTGAGGCCACCAGGACTCAACATGAATCCATGTGCATTTCAAGTATTGCTTNGAGGCCACCAGGACTCAACATGAATCCATGTGCATTTCAAATATTGCTTTAGAGTGAATAAATAAAAGCACAATTACTATCATATGGAATTATAAAATATTTTTGACAAAATGCTGGGAACCATTGGAGGTGTGTGTATGGCAGCTGCATGTCTAGAGAAGACAATTTTTTCCCCCGCACTTATCTCTCATCCTCTCTGCTCCATCACACCTCTCAACTGCTCTCCCTCTTTGCTTCCCCTTCTCTTCGGATCCCTAGTCAAGAATGCAAATATTTTCTGGTCTCCATGTTGGGAAACTGACCTGGAGGATTCAATGAAAGATTACATTTTAGCTTTGGGACTTAATGGTCCTTTGTGGATCCAGACAGTCAGATAGAGAAAATAAATGACTGTAGAAAGTTCTGAGAAAAAGAACTTTTCCAGCATGGGGAGGAACACATTTGTGCGTTTGTAAAATGAAATTTATTTTTTAGCCTTGGCCTGAGACTGGTGATATCTTAGTTCCCTGACCAGGGATCGAACTTGCACTCCCTACATTGGAAGCTCAGAGTCTTAACCACTGGACCACCAGGGAAATCCGAACTGTACCTTCTTATCCTTCATCAGCTCCCTGCCCTTTGCCCTCAGAGAGAGAAACACAGCCCATGAGGAATACATCTCACCCAGAGGATGTGATAGTCTAGTCCCATTCGTGACTCCAGAGCCACTGTCCAAATACAGAAAATACTTAAATACTCTGCTCTCGTCAATGAGCTGCATGCTAATGGGAAGCAGAGTGGATAGATACTCCGTCCACCACGAATACAAATATTCTGATTTAGACTTACATTTCCAACTCCTCCACTGGCTGGTCTTTGTCCAGAGAGGCTGGTGGGCAGAAGGGTAAAAGGACTTGACTTCATTTCCCTTTGCATGCTTCCTGCCCAGAAATGCCCAGAGATACCCCAAAGAGATGTGAAATGACTGGAAGAGGAAGAAGGAGGAACACAGCAGAGGCTGAAATTGGACCATCAGTTCTGTAACTGTGAACAATGTAGTAAACACGGAGGCTGGACGGGGGCCTGCTTCCTCTGGGAGCTCAGCTTCCTGGCTTCTCCAGCCACCTTTGTCCCTTTCCTGGCTTTTCATGCATCTGAGATGTGTACAAACAGGGGCAAGAAATCCGTCGGGAGTGTTCCACTAAAAGCCCATGCCATGTCTGGAATGGGGGTGGTGGACTGGAGCAGAGGTAAGCTGTGAGTGTTGTAAAACCTCTCCCTTTGGTTTATAGGCAATGTCTTTGTAGCCAGATCCCTTTTTTGAGGGTGGGGCAGTGGTTTTCAAACTGTTCAGGGATGAATGTTAGGGGTCCCCGAAAGGAATGTGTAATCGTGGCTTGCGTGTGTGATAAGTCGCGTCAATCAAGTCTGACTGTTTGCAACCCTATGGACCGTAGCCCTCCAGGCTCCTCTGTCCATGGGATTCTCCAGGCATGAATACTGGAGTGGGTTGCCATGCCCTCCTCCTGGGGGTCTTCCCAGCCCAGGGATCAAACCCGGGTCTCTTAGGTCTCCTGCATGGCAGGCGGATTCTTTACCACTAGCACCACTTGGAAGCCCATGCAATCGTGGCAGACACTTCTAACTTAAGTGACTTCTAATTTATGTGGCTTTCTCGTCTTCAATGCCATGAGGCTGCGATGCAGTGTCATGGATACAGCACAGAGGAATCAAGTGTGATGGGAAAACCCATGATTCCTGAAAATGCTCTCTGTGTGCCCGAGGAGTAACTCTCCATCGCCACACTACTGAGCGTGGAGGAACCCTGCTGCCCTTCACTGAAGGCCACGCGAGGTGGAATCTACCATCAGGTGGCTGTCGGCCCCGTGGTCCAGCCCCAGCTTACCAAGTGCACTCGCTTCTCCGTGGCAAGTTGGAGTCCGAGGCAGACTGTCACCCCCCCTCCTCTGCTCTCTCCGGCAGGTCCTGTTCAAGCTCCTCCTGGGCAGTGCTAAGTTTGGAGAAGCCGCCTTATTTCTTTCCATTCTGGGTGTGTTTAACATCCTCTTCATCACCTGTATTCCTGTCATCCTCTACTTTACCAAAGTGGAATACTGGAGCTCTTTTGATGACATTCCATGGGGAAACCTTTGTGGATTTTCAGTCCTCTTATTGAGTAAGTGGCGACTACCCTGCCAGAATCCCCAGAAAGCAGGGACTGACAAAGTGGGATCCGGAAAGCTCCAGGGCATGGAAACTCATGCCCTGAAGGAGAAAAAAAAGCAAGTCTATTATTATCCTTAAGTTCTTCATGGTTTTCTAGGTCATTGTGTCGCAAAAAGGAAAGCCTTTGTAATGATGACACTAGTTCTGATTCCAGGACTATGGTCGCTGTGGTAGTGACCATGGTCATGGCGGCTCTGAACAGTGAACTAGTGGCTAAGGGTAATAATAGTGCATTACTTATAGGGTTGGTTATTCCTGTTGTCGCCAAGTCATGTCCAGCTCTTCGCAGCCCCATGGACTGCAGCACACTAGGCTTCCCTGTCCTTCACTGTCTCCCCGAGTTTGTTCAAACTCATGTCCATTGAGTTGGTGATGCCATCCAAAACCATCTCATCCTCTGTCGCCCCCCTCTTCTCCTGCCCTCCATCCTTCCCAGAATCAGGGTCTTTTCCAATGAGTTGGTTCTCCACATCCGGTGGCCAAAGTATTGGCTTCAGCTTCAGCATCAGTCCTTCCATTGAATATAGGGCTGGTTAGAAGTTGGTAGATTAATACTATAATAGGGAAGAAACTTTTGTATTCTATTACACATTTATCACTAAAAGGATGATGCCTACAAGCTTAAATTATACATAATGCTCCCCAAATAATGTGCATTAAGCTAAAATACCTTTGTTTAGCTCACAGGAAATAACCTGACTAGACCTGCTTGTGAATGACTGTAGAGAGAAAGAAATTAACACATCCTTTCTGGAGACTGATGGGAACCAGGAAGTGTTTGACTCTACTCCTCCCCTTTCAGTATAAAAGGAGCCTGAATTCTAACCCAGACTAGATAGTTCTTTGGGACATGAACTCACCATCTTCTTGGTTTGCCAGCTTTATGAATAAAGTTGTCATTCCTTGCTCCGGCAACTGACCTTTCAATTATTGGCCTGTCGTGCAGCAAGCGGTACAAGCTTGGAGTTGGTTAACAATCCACACAGAGCTCTTCGAACACTACCTGATAACGTTCAGTAAATATTATCACTATTAGTGTCATCATCACCATTACTTCATCAACATCATCATCCTCATCACCAGTAATTGCTATAAGGCTGGTCCTAGGCAGGGAAGCATCCAAGGAGGAGCCTCACCCATTTCTACCTAAAATGTGCATCCCAAAGCTCCTGATCATGGTCATCCCAGAATCACTGCCAGCAGCAGAAAAAAGCAAAGTTAGTCAAGTAAGTAGGATAGCCCCATCCTCTTTTCTAGTGCTTTCTCACTGGTTAGCTTTTTAAAATTTCTTTCATATTCTTCAGAGTTCAGGGAAGAGAAGAGACCTGAGTAGTCAGGATGTTTGGCCCTAATCCCCAGTCCTGGAGCCCTTGAAGGAGCCCAAATCCCCTGAGTCAGAATAAAGAGCAAGACACCTAGACTCCAGCCTCCTCAGAGAAGCTGGGGTTGGATAGGCCATAAAGGATGGAAAATCAGGGCTGGGCATGCATAACACCTATCTTTTTATTCTTTATTTCAGCATTCAATATTGTATTAAATTTTGGAATTGCTGTTACATATCCTACTCTGATGTCTCTTGGAATCGTCCTCAGCGTACCTGTGAATGCAGGTAAACTTCTGTGGCTTTCTGTATCTGTTTGTAAACACACACACACAAACACACACGTGCACATACATACTCACATATCTTCTTGCTTGCTCGTACAGTGTACAGATTTAACCTCATGTATAGAAAGAAACCACTTGGGTAAAATATTGATGTTTGTAACACATGCAGTATTTTGTTCAGAGTGGATTGATTTTCACATATAACACCAAGGTACAGAAAGTCTAAAATCATCTTTATTTGAACTAGTGTGAAGATCAGAGATGAATATCATTAATTTTATTAATAAGTAGAAATGAATAAGTCGCAGAAGAAAGTTTTTTAGTTTTCGTAAGCAGCTTTCTAAAAGAGAATGCTAGCTCAGGGTATGGCAGGCATGAGATAGAGACACGTCCACAGTACAGAAGTGTGGACATTGCTCCCGGAGTCACAGAAGAGAGCCCTCATCCAGCTGCTCAGGACCTCGCTCCGTGTTCCACTGGGGACTCACCAGCACACTCAGTCGGCAGCTCTCCTGAGGTGTGCCATCACCTGCCCCTCACCTCCCTCCTTTTCTGGCTCATGCTGCTATGAACTTTGGGTTTTCCTTCCAGAATCTCCCTGAGTCATACTCGACCTCCCTGTAGAATCTGTTTGTGAGTCACTTCCCAGAGCACTCACCCCTTTGACCTTGGCAAAGCTCCTACCAAAGGTCATCCCCGACCTGCCCACTTCTGGGCCATTAGAGGACTAGGCTCCCAGGGAGTGGCAACCCCATATCCTGTTCAGTCTGGTGATAATAAGCCTGGAAGCACAGGTGAAACCACGGTCAACTTCCAGAGGTTTTCCTTGCGTTGCATTCCGCACGATCTATATGTGCCTTACCCTGGTCCCAGACTCCTTGGGCCCAGCACCTGCCCAGAGGGAGGGTGACCAGGCCCCTCTCATAACCCCTCTGGGCCCTTACTTATCCCCTAAAAGTGAAGGTTGTCCCTGAGTCACCACCTTGGTTGATAGGAGGACCACACGAAATGATTTATGAGGCAGAACTTCCTAAGGCAGGAAAAGCCCCTAAGCACCTGGAGAGCTGGTAGAAAAGTGGTCCAGCCTGTCTGTGTCCACACACCACAGGCTTCAGAAAAATAACTCATCAACATGCCCCAATGCCTCTTAGTGCATCAGAGCGTTCTTATTTCAAGGAGGCATATTCCAGGTGACCCTTGTAGAGAAGCTGGTTGGACTGTATCATACAGCGAGAGGTTAATCGGGATCCTCTGCTACTTACCTGCACTTTAAGAGGGTCAGCAGTGTATCAGAGGAAGCAATGGAATCAGTTCTCCAGGGGAGCAGGAGCAGAGGAGTCGGTGCTTCTCCGACCGTCCGAGCAGAGCCCTTGCTGGGCTCTCTGACACTCTCTAGCATAGCTCATGGGACTGGCTGACTGGCTCTGCTAAAGAATCCACTGTAAAGAATCCACCTGCCATGCAGGAGACTGGGGTTTGATCCCTGGGTCAGGAAGATCCTNGGAAGATCTCTTGAAGAAAGGAATAGCTGCCCACTCCAGTATTCTTGCCTGGAGAATTCTATAGACAGAGGAGCCTAGTGGGCTACAGTCCATGGGGTTGCAGGGAGTCGGACACAACTGAGCAACTAACACTTTCACTTTCTTTCATTTGTAAATTAACAGGCTGTTCTGCCAGTATTAAAAATTAAAGTGTTTCTGAATTAGAGGGAGATAGAAGAGGTGCTTTAATTCCACAAAAGAACTGCTAACAAAATGTATTTCTCAGTTTTACCTTTTACCTCTCTGCCCACCCTCTAGATGGAGGTGAGAGGCGCAGGAAGAAGTGGCGGGGGGGTGGGCAAGAGGACTGGAGGAACAGGAAGGGAGATGACAGAGCAGCCCCCTCGTGTGGCAGACAGGCGGGGCGGGGGATGCAGAGAGAGGGACAGCACGGCAGGCTTCAAAAGCTGCACGTGTAAGTCAGAAAAAACTCTTTCACAAACTGAGTTTTTCAAAAAAACAATCTGATTCTCCCTTGTGTGGAGTTCAGTTCAGTTCAGTCACTCAGTCGTATCTGACCCTTGGTGACCCCATGGACTACAGCACTCCAGGCTTCCCTGTCCATCACCAACTCCTGGAGTTGACTCAAACTCATGTCCATCGAGTCAGTGATGCCATCCAGCCATCTCATCCTCTGTCGTCCCCTTCTCCTCCTGCCTTCAATCTTTCCCCGCATCAGTGTCTTTTCCAAGGAGTCAGTTCTTTGCATCAGGTGGCCAAAGTATTGGAGCTTCAGCTTCAGCATAAGTCCTTCCAATGAATATTCAGGACTGATTTCCTTTAGGATGGACTGGTTGGATCTCCTTGCAGTCCAAGGGACTCTCAAGAGTCTTCTCCAACACCACAGTTCAAAAGCATCAATTCTTCAGTGCTCAGCTTTCTTTATAGTCCAACTCATATCCATACATGACTACTAGAAAATCAAATCATCTTAATCTCTGACTAAATTGACTCTGGGTTGGGACCTCCCCTGTGGTCCAGTAGTATAGACTCAGTGCTCCCAATGCAAGCAGCCTGGATTCAGTCCCTGGTCAGGGAATTATACATCCCACATGCCACAGATGAAAGATCCCATGTGCTGCAAGTAAGACCCAGTGCAGACAAGTAAATAAATAGTTTAAAATGTAAATTCACTCTGGGTTAAGATGGTCTGCCTGTAGCCTATATACCCATGATAAGCAAAAGCATATGCTCTCCAGAATAAGTTAATAACATACAGAGTGTCAAATGATAGCTACACTTTTCCATATACAATAGAGAGCATTCAGCTATTTAAAAAAACAGAATATGGGAAAACAAGGCCTGACTGAAAACTCAGGGGAAATAAACAGACCAGTTTTGACTGAAAAATCAAGAGAAACACAGTGGACAAAAGACTCAAACTCACTGATCCAGATACCAGATGACTTAAATTGAGGTATGATAAAAGAACTAAGTGACAAAATGGAGACTTGTACTAATAAACTAGAANGCTTGGAGAATTTTGAGCATTACTTTGCTGGCTTATGAGATGAGTACAATTGTACGGTAGTTTGAACATTCTTTGGCATTGCCTTTCTTTGGGATTGGAATGAAAACTGACCTTTTCCAGTCCTGTGGCCACTACTGAGTTTTCCAAATTTGCTGGCATATTGAGTGCAGCACTTTCACAGCATAATCTTTTAGGATTTAAAATAGGTCAGCTGGAATTCCATCACCTCCATTAGCTTTGTTCATAGTGATGCTTCCTAAGGCCCACTTGATTTCTCATTCCAGGATGTCTGGCTCTAGATGAGTGATCACACCATCGTGGTTATGTGGGTCATGAAGATCTTTTTTGTATAGTTCTTCTGTGTATTCTTGCCACCTCTTCTTAATATCTTCTGCTTCTGTTAGGTCCATACCATTTCTGTCCTTTATTGAGCCCATCTTTGCATGAAATGTTCCCTTGGTATCTCTAATTTTCTTGAAGAGATCTCTAGTGTTTCCCATTCTATTGTTTTCATTTATTTCTTTGCATTGGAAATATGCAAAAATTGCATTGGAAATATGCTAAGGAAGGCTTTCTTATCTCTCCTTGCTATTCTTTGGAACTCTGCATTCAGATGGGTATATCTTTCCCTTCCTCCTTTGCCTTTCACTTCTCTTTCACTTCTCTCAGCTATTTGTAAGGCCTCCTCAGACAACCATTTTATGTGGAGGCCTGCCTCCAAATTTGCTTTGTTTGATTTACTTAAGAAACGAGAAAAAGAGCAAAAAAAGGAAAAGAAAACCAACTTTGGAATGCTTTTGATTGTTAGTTATGAAGAGAATGATGATCCAGGTTTATACGAACTGATGTGAATCCTGTTCTCATTTTGTTCCCTCACCTCATCAGTCAGAAATGAGCTTCTTGGGCCTTTAATAAATGTTCATAATCAGTGATGACATAGGTGGCAATCGAGCCTCACGCTAATAATACCCTGGAGTGGAATAAAAGTTTGTATCTGTTACCTTCAAAGAATCAGGTAGAGTTTGGTCCTAAGAACATAAAAATATGGGACTTCCAGCAGTCCAGTGGTTAAGACTCTGTACTTCCAATGCAGGGGGCACACGTTTGATCCCTGGTTGGGGAGCTGGGATCCCACATGCCGTGGGGTGCATCCAAAAATATAAAAATAAATAAAGTCTTTTTAAAATGTGAAAAGCACCAAGAATGGAAAGAAGGCAATAACATTTGAATTGTCCTGGCACCCCAGAACTGGCCACAATTAATTTTGATATATACTAGATTGGCTGAAAGTTCACTGGGATTTTTCCAGGACAGCGTATGAGAAACCCGAATGAACTTTTTAGCCAACCACTATATATACAGGGCTTCCCAAGTGGCACTAGTGGTTAAAAAAAAAAACCCGCCTGCCAATGCAGGAGATGCAAGAAACACAGGTTCGATCACTGGGTCAGGAAGATCCCCTGGAGAAGGAAGTGGCAATCCACCCCAGTATTCTTGTCTGGAAGATTCCATGGATAGAGGAGCCTGGACAGTTACAGTCTAGGGGATCGCAAAGAGTCAGACACACTGAGCAACTGAGCACACACACACACACACAATATACACACACATGCACAATATATACACACACAATATATACACAATACATATACACATACACACACAATATACACACACACATATATATACACACACATACAATACACACACACAATATACACACACACACACACACAATATTTATACACACACAATACACACACACAATATATATACACACACACAATATATACACAATATATATACACATGCACAATATACACACACACGATATACACACACACACACACAGTTTATACACGCACACACACAATATATACACACACACTCCATATATACACACACACAATTTATACATGCACACACACAATATACACACACACTATATATACACACACCCACAATATATATATATACACACACACAATATATATGTACACACACACACAATATATATACACACACACATACACACAATATATACACACACAATATATATATACACACAACGCACACACACAATATATATATACACACAGACAATATACATATACACACACAATATATATATACACATACACACACAATATACACACACACTATATATATATATACACACACATACACAATATACACACACACAATATATATATATATACATACACTATACACACACAATATATATATATACACACACATACACACACATACACACACACATACACACACACATATATATACAGACACACACATATATACACACACACATATACACACACATACATATATACACACACACACACACATACACACACACATATACACACACATACACACACATATATACACACACACATATATATACACACACATATACACACACACACACATATACACACACACATATATACACACACACACACACACACACACAATGGAATACTACTCAGACTTGGAGGGCATATGCTTAGGGAATTAATTCAGAGAAAGATACTGAATGTTATCATTTATAAATGGAAACTTAAAAACTAAACAAATGACTATAACGAAAAGAGGGAGCTTCCCTGGTGGTCCAGTGGCTAAGACTCTGCACTCCCAAAGCAGGGGACCCAGGTTTGACCCCCGGTCAGGGGACCAGATCCCACGTGCCACAGCTTTGAGTCTGTATGCCACAATTAAGACCTGGTGCAGCCAGAAGAATGACTGAATGAATAAATAAATAAGGAAAATGTGGAAATAGAGATATGTCAGTGACAGTGAAGGTAGAGAGAATTGGCTGAATTTGAGAGCTATTTTGGAGGTAGCACCAGTGAACTTGGCAGATGAAGAAAGGAAAAACCCTATGTTGATGGGTAGATTTGACTTTCACAACTGGATAGTTGGATGGTGGAGCCATTTATGGAGATGGGAAAGATATTTCTGGAGGGAATATGAAAAATTATAACTCATGTCATTCTTTGAGAAACATTGTCCAGAGCCCAAGAATGCAAGCTTAAAGCTCTGCAAAATAATTAGACAACTCCAACCCTACTTTGGAAAAAGGAGTGATGTTAACTTTTATCCAATACTTTTTATATGTTTATATGCCAAGTGCTATCATACCTATCATGTTATTTAATCATTATCATGGTCCTGTGATATTATCTCTAATCTATAGATGAGGAAACAGAAGCTGAGATGGGTTAAGTGACTTGTACAACACTGCAAGCTAGTTAGGTGGTGAACCCGATGAAAGTGAAATTGTAAGTTGCTCAGTCATGTCCCACTCTTTGCAACCCCATGGGGTGTGGTCCGCCAGGCTCCTCTGTCCACAGAATTCTCCAGGCGAGAATACTGGAGTGGATAGCCATTCCCTTCTCCAGGGGATCTTCCAGACTCAGGGGTCGAACCCTGGTCTCCTTCATTACAGGCAGATTCTTTACTGTCTGAGCTACCAGGGAAGTCCGGTAAACCTAGTATGCAAACCTATTTCTTCAGAGACCAAGTTCAAAGCTGTTTCACCACACAATACTGCCGTTAATAGCAGATTCTTTCCTCATAGCCTTTGTCATCTAACTTCTTAAATATGACCATGGGAACCACCTGGTAAAAGGAATTAAATTAGCTCTTATGTAATTGCTTTCCTTTCTCTTCCAAAGAATAATCTTGATTAAACAAATTAATATTTGATTTACATCAGTGCTGGTCTTCTTTCAAATGTCATATGGTGTTACACAGGAGATATATATATTTTTACTTCCTCATCCTAACTATTTTCACCATATTATGAAATAAAGAAATTTGAGAGCTGGTAGAGAGGGCTAAGGAGTCGCTAGAGCGAAGATGTCGGACAGCGAGGACAGCAACTTCTCCGAGGAGGAGGACAGCGAGCGCAGCAGTGACGGCGAGGAGGCCGAGGTAGAGGAGGAGTGGAGTGCAGCGGGCAGTGAGAAGGAGGAAGAGCCCGAGGAGGAAGAGGAGGAAGAGTATGATGAGGAAGAGGAGGAGGAAGATGACGACCAGCCCCCCAAGAAACCCCGCCATGGCAGCTTCATTCTGGATGAGGCTGATGTGGATGATGAGTATGAGGATGAGGACCAGTGGGAGGATGGAGCAGAGGACATCCTGGAGAAAGGTNGAGACCCCGCCATGGCAGCTTCATTCTGGATGAGGCTGATGTGGATGATGAGTATGAGGATGAGGACCAGTGGGAGGATGGAGCAGAGGACATCCTGGAGAAAGAAGAGATTGGAGCCTCCAACATCGACAATGTTGTTCTGGATGAAGACCGGTCTGGGGCTCGCCGCCTGCAAAACCTCTGGAGGGACCAGCAAGAAGAAGAACTGGGCGAGTATTACATGAAGAAATACGCCAAGTCATCTGTGGGAGAGACGGTGTATGGAGGGTCTGATGAGCTCTCGGATGACATCACCCAGTAGCAGCTGCTCCCAGGAGTCAAGGATCCCAATCTGTGGACTGTCAAACGTAAGATTGGGGAGGAACGGGCCACAGCCATTTCCTTGATGTGCAAGTTCATTGCCTACCAGTTCACAGACACGCCCCTGCAGATCAAGTCGGTGGTGGCACCAGAGCACGTGAAGGGTTACATCTACGTGGAGGCCTACAAGCAGACCCATGTGAAGCAGGCCATCGAGGGTGTGGGCAACCTGCGGCTCAGCTACTGGAACCAGCAGATGATGCCCATCAAGGAGATGATGGATGTGCTCAAAGTGGTGAAGGAGGTGGCCAACCTGAAACCCAAATCCTGGGTCCGCCTCAAGCGGGGCATCTACAAGGATGACATTGCTCAGGTAGGGCGAGCTCATCAACCTGCAGGGCAAGATCCTCAGTGTGGATGGCAACAAGATCACCATCATGCCCAAGCACGAGGACCTCAAGGACATGCTGGAGTTCCCAGCCCAGGAACTTCGCAAGTACTTCAAGATGGGGGACCACGTGAAGGTGATCGCTGGTCGGTTTGAGGGTGACACAGGCCTCATCGTGCGGGTGGAGGAGAACTTCGTCATCCTCTTCTCTGACCTCACCATGCACAAGCTGAAGGTGCTCCCCCGGGACCTGCAGCTCTGCTCGGAGATGGCATCAGGTGTGGATGTCGGGGGCCAGCACGAATGGGGGGAGCTGGTGCAGCTGGACCCCCAGACCGTGGGTGTCATCATGCGACTGGAGCGGGAGACCTTCCAGGTGCTGAACATGTATGGGAAGGTGGTGACTGTCAGGCACCAGGCTGTGATCCGGAAGAAAGACAACCGCTTTGCCGTGGCCCTGGACTCAGAACAGAATAATATCCATGTGAAGGACATCGTCAAAGTCATTGATGGCCCCCACTCGGGCCGGGAAGGCGAGATTCGCCATCTCTTCCGCAGCTTCACCTTCCTGCACTGCAAGAAACTGGTGGAGAACGGCGGCATGTTTGTCTGCAAGACCCGCCACCTGGTGCTGGCAGGGGGCTCGAAGCCTCGAGATGTGACCAACTTCACAGTAGGAGGCTTCGCCCCTATGAGCCCCCGGATCAGCAGCCCTATGCACCCCAGTGCTGGAGGTCAGAGCGGTGGCTTTGGCAGCCCAGGTGGTGGCGGTGGTGGCATGAGCAGGGGCCGAGGGCGGAGAGACAACGAGCTCATCGGCCAGACTGTGCGCGTCTCCCAGGGGCCCTACAAAGGCTACATCGGTGTGGTAAAGGATGCCACGGAGTCCACTGCCCGCGTGGAGCTGCACTCCACCTGCCAGACCATCTCTGTGGGCCGCCAGCTCCTCACCACCGTGGGCTCACGGCGCCCAGGCGGCATGGCCTCGGCCTACGGGCGGACACCCATGTATGGCTCCCAGACGCCCATGTACGGCTCTCAGACGCCCCTCCAGGATGGCAGCCGCACTCCTGCCCAGAGTGGGGCCTGGGATCCAAACAAACCCAACACACCGTCACGGGCTGAGGAAGAATATGAGTGTGCCTTTGATGATGAGCCTACCCCATCCCCACAGGCCTACGGGGGCACCCCCAACCCCCAAACACCTGGCTACCCAGACCCCTCGTCCCCGCAGGTCAACCCACAGTACAACCCACAGACTCCAGGGACACCAGCCAGGTACAACACAGACCAGTTTTCCCCCTATGCGGCCCCCTCCCCGCAAGGCTCCCACCAGCCCAGCCCCAGCCCTCAGAGCTACCACCAGGTGGCGCCAAGTCCAGCAGGCTATCAGAATACCCAGTCCCCAGCCAGCTACCACCCCACACCCTCGCCAATGGCATATCAGGCCAGCCCCAGCCCGAGCCCCGTGGGCTACAGTCCGATGACACCTGGAGCTCCTTCCCCTGGTGGCTACAACCCGCACACGCCGGGCTCAGGCATTGAACAGAACTCCAGCGTCTGGGTGACCACTGACATCCAGGTGAAGGTGCGGGACACCTACCTGGATACACAGGTGGTGGGGCAGACGGGAGTCATCCGCAGTGTCACGGGAGGCATGTGCTCTGTGTACCTGAAAGACAGTGAGAAGGTCGTCAGCATCTCCAGTGAGCACCTGGAGCCCATCACCCCCACCAAGAACAACAAGGTAAGGGAGGGCAAGGGGACATGGGGGCATGGGGCTGCTGCCATGGCCCCTGACCCTGTGTATTGTCCCCCTCCAGGTGAAGGTGATCCTGGGTGAGGATCGGGAAGCCACAGGTGTCCTGCTGAGCATCGATGGTGAGGATGGCATTGTCCGCATGGACCTTGACGAACAGCTCAAGATCCTCAACCTCCGCTTCCTGGGGAAGCTCCTGGAGGCCTAAAAGCAGGCAGGGTGGACTCTGGCAGATAACCTGGCAGATGGAGAGCATCCCTCTTTCCTTCCCTGGCCCTTGGCTCTGACTCCGGATCCAGGGCCAGGAGCAGGGCTAGCCTGGTGGTTCAGGATTTCTTTTATTTTCCTTTCTGCGTTCCTATCTCCCTCCCTGATATTCATGGGAATCTGAGTAGAGTCTGGGGAGGGTCCCCACCTTCTTATTCCCCACCTCCTCCAGCATGCTTTTGTGTTACGGTCTTTCAATAAAAAACTGTTTGGTTAAAAAAAAAAAGAAAGAAATTTGAGCTTTAAAAAATTCAGGAATCTCACCATTTCTCTCTTCTGTGATCTTTGAGGTCAAATGTTAAATCCTACCAATGAAGAAGCTACAGTTCTGTGTATTTAAGTAACAGTTATGATGAACTGTTCAACTCTCTACAGGTTTTTGCCCAGTCCCTTCTCCTCTGTGGCTGATTCATTTCTCCTTTTCTTGATTATATTCCTGCAGTCATCATGTTGAGTTAGGTCTTGTGATTCTGAAATAAGAAACGTTTAGGCAGTTTTGCAAAATGCAACCCGGATACACCTGGTCCTTTTAATGACTAACAGCAATCCAAATGTGACCTACCAAAAACTTAGATAAATGATATAATCTTGGAAGAAAAATACCTCTTGGCTCAGGAGGGAAATGCTGAGAACTATGGCAAGCTTTCTCAGGGAAAAAAATCATCTTTTTCCAAATTCACCAGTTTTTAGAACAACTTCACTCAAACACTTGTTTTAAAATGTTATCAAGGACTTCCCTGGTGGTCCAGTGGTTAGGAATCCACCTGCCAGGGCAGGAGACACAGGTTTGACCCCTGGTCTGGGAAGATTTCACATGCCTCAGGGCAAGTAACCCCATGTGCCACAACTACTGAGCCAGCATTCTAGAGCCCGTAAGCCACAACTACTGAAGCCTAAACGCCGCTGCTAGAGAGTAGCCCCCCTTGTTGCAACTAGAGAGAGCCCATATGTAGCAAGAAAGCCCCAGTGCAGCCAAAAATAAAAATAAATAAAAATTAAATATGTCAGAGCCATCCCACAATTATTAGAATGACTGCTGCTGCTGCTGCTGCTAAGTTGCTTCAGTCATGTCCGACTCTATGCGACCCCATAGATGGCAGCCCACCAGGCTCTGCTGTCCGTGGGATTTTCCAGGCAAGAGTACTGGAGTGGGTTGCCATTGCCTTCAGCTACTATTTAAGAAAATCCAGAAAAGAACAAATATTGGAGAGGTCGTGGAGAAATTGGAACCCTCTGTGCCATTGGTGGGAGTGCAAAGTGGTGTGACTGCTACGGAAAAAGGATAAGGCCATTCTGCAAAAAATTAGAAATAGTATTACCATATGATCAACAATTCTTCTTCTGGTTAAATATACCAAAAAAAATTGACAGCAGGGACTTGTCAAGGTATTTGTATACCTATGTTCATAGGAACATTATTCATATTAGTCAAGGGGTGGAAGCAACCCAAGTAGCCATCAACAGATGAATGGATAAACAAAATGTGGGATATATATACAAAAGAATATTAGCTTTAAAAAGGAAATTCTGCAATATGCTACAACATCAATGAACTTTGAAGACATTATGTTAAGTGAAATAAGCCGATCACAAAAATACAAATATTTTATGAGTCCACTTAATACAAAGTACCCAGAGCAATGACATTCATGGAGACAGAAAGTACAATGGTGGTTTCCAAGGACTGGGGCAAAGGGGCATGAAATGCTATTGTTAAAAGGATGGAGTTTCAGTTTTTCAAGATGAAAGAAAGTACCGGAAATAGATGGTAGTGATGGATGCACAACAGTGTGAACAGATTTAATGCCACTGAACAGTACAGTTAAAAATAGTTAAGATGGGTTAACCAAAAACATGATTTTAGAAAGTAAGTTCAAAATAGATTTGATAAATTTGGGGTGGTGAATAAATAGGATTTTTCATCTATAGCATCATCTCCAGAGGTTACAAAAGTGAAGTGAAAGTTGCTCAGTCATGTCCTACTCCTTGTGACCCCATGAACTGTATAGTCATGGAATTTTCCAGGCCAGAATACTGGAGTGAGTAGCCTTTCCTTTTTCCAGGGAATCTTCCCAACCCAGGTCTCCTACATTGCAGGCGGCATCTTTACCAGCTGAACCACCAGGGAAGTCCAAGGGAGCCTGTAATTTCTGCTGAAGTATACTACCTCACTCATTTGAAAACAAAATGTGAAAGTCTATATGTGTGTAATTGGCCAACTGACACTTTATTAAAACTCCATCCAAAACAAAAATTAATATAATAAATTTTGTGTTATGTGTATTTCATCACAATTAAAAATTAAAAACAATTTTTAAAGTTACTAGTAGGTCTAGGACTGACAATTTGGGGAAATAAATGTTTATTTCATCTGCCTTTTTGTGGGGGGTGGGGGGGCAGTGTCACACTATGCAGCTTCTGGAATCTTAGTTCCCTGGCCAGGGATTGAACCCCAGCCCTCAGCACTGAAAGCTCTGAGTCCTAACCACTGGACTACCAGGGAATTCCCATTTCATCTATCCTTAAACAGAACTGGGATAAATGGAAATATTTTAGATTTTAATACCTTTAGAATTTTAGCATTTATTGATCATCTATTCCAAAATTCAGTTAGTTCAGTTCAGTTCAGTCACTCAGTCGTGTCCGACTCTTTGCGACCCCATGAATTGCAGCACGCCAGGCCTCCCTGTCCATCANACAGTTCAAAAGCATCAATTTTTCGGTACTCAGCTTTCTTCACAGTCCAACTCTCACATCCATACATGACCACTGGAAAAACCATAGCTTTGACTAGACGGACCTTTGTTGGCAAAGTAATGTCTGCTTTTTAATGTGCTGCCTAGGTTGGTCATAACTTTCCAAAGTTACCCAAACAGAAATACTTCTACCCCCGATCAAAGAGTATTTACTCTCTAATTATGTTCTTCCAGTGATTGGGAGCTTTTCTAGTGATGGGAGGCAACTCATTCCAGCTCTTTGATGCTCACTTTGGTTTGTAACTCAAATTTCATATGCTTTGCTGCTTTGTCCACCTGTAATCTACAAAAAAAGATCATCCTGTTGCACTAGAGTCAGTCCTATTCTGATACCACCATTTAAAAGACTACACTTTATTAATTAATGTACTTTTGCTGTCTGTGTTCTAACTTACATGACTTTTCCAGCATATGTTTTCTAATCTTCAGGAAACATAACAGGGTAAAAATGTTATGCTTTTAAAAATACATCAACTACAGACAAATAGATTAAAAAAAAAAAAGGATCACTCATTCTTCATTTAGCCTCATATCCCAAAGATGATAATTGTCTGTCATGTGTTTGGAATATTTTCAAGTATAAACAAATCATTCCATTATATCACAAATTATATCACACTATGAGAAGGAAATGGCAATCCAGTCCAGTAATGGAGGAGCCTGGTGGGCTGCCGTCTATGGGGTCGCACAGAGTTGGACACGACTGAAGCGACTTAGCAGCAGCAGCAGCATTCATATTGTTCTATAGCTTACTTTTCTCTTTTTGTGATCTATTCTGTGTTAATTATCAAAACTTATTCTATTCATGGAATATTTTGAGTCATTAATGGGGCTTTCCTAGTGGCTCAGACCACCCGCAATGCGGGAGACCTGGGTTTGATCCCCAGGTCAGGAAGATCCCCTGGAGAAGGGAATGGCTATCAATTTCAGCATTCTTGCCTGGAGAATTCCATAGACAGAGGAGCCTGGCAGGCTACAGTCCATGGGGTGGCAAAGAGTCGGACATGATCAAGTGACTAACACTTTTTTTTTTTTGAGGCTTTAGTGGAAATATAATGTTATGACCGTAACAATGCACTGGGAAGGATTTTCATGATACTGCTCTGTCTTATCTCTTCCTTATTCAAAAGTGAAAGTTTTCTTACAAAATAGGTTTTGATTAGAATAATATCTAAACCTAAACTCTGATTAAAAACAAATTTAAAATCTGGCAAATTGCTTTTGAAGAGTTTCTATGGGAGAATATCAAAGTTAATGAACTTTACTGTACTTTGAATTTCTGGTGTCTTTTTTTTTTTGACTTCTTGAAACTGTTAGCACTAATTCTTGAAAAAATTCCCAACCAACAGAAATCCTGTAGTCTCACTGGTACCCTAATTTTTTCTGAGGATATTAATTGCTTCTTCCTGCAGAATCAGATAGAGGTCACTTTTTTTGTTCCATGATCATTCTTTGAAATGTTGTTTACATTTTGCTCCTTAATCTCTACTTCCCTATACAACTGGTATTTGCCTTAGGGTCAAGTCTGAGATTCTGCCAGGCTTGGAAGAAATATCTTCTATGACATTCCTGACATATAGTCATTTAAATTGTAGGTGGAGGACTTCCCTGGTGGCCCAATGGTTAAGAATCCAACAGTGTAGGAGACACAGGTTCTGTCTCTGGTCTGGGAAAATTCCACATGCCACTAGGCAACGAAGCCTGTGCTCCACAAGTACTGAGCCTGTGCTCTAGAATATGAGAGCCACAACATTTGAGCCTGTGGGCTGCAACTACTGAAGCCTGAGTTCCCTGGAGCCCATGCTCTGCAACAAGAGAAGCCCCTGCAAAAAGAAGCCAACGCTGCAACTAGAGAGTAGCCCCCACTCTCCACACCTAGAGAAAAGCATGCACACAGCAACGAAGACACAACACAGCCAAAAATAAAAATAAGTTAATATGTTTTTAAAAGGAGAAAAAGTCCACTGTTGTCTGACATAGAAAAAAATTAATGTATTGAAATCTGTTGTAACTCTATACATTTACAACTAGCTATCAGAAGAAGAAATTAGGAAAACAATACCATTGACAATTAAAGAATAAAATTGCTAGGAATAAATACAACTAAGGAGGTAAAACACCTATATTCAAAGAACTATATATACATGATGAAAAATTGAAGACACACACAAAAAGAAACATACACTCTGCTCGTGGATTGGAAGAATTAATATTGTTGAAATGATCACACTGCCCAACGCAATGTACAGATTCAATGCAATCCCTATGAAAACGCTAATGATATTACTCGTAGAACCAGAACAAATAACTCTAAAGTTTGCATGGAAACACGATAGCCAAACAATCTTGAGAAAGAACAGAACTGGAAGCATCACACTCCCTGATTACAAATTATATTAAAAAGCTACAGTAATTAAAACAATATGGTTGTTGTTGTTCAGTCGCTAAGTTATGTCTA